TACCCGAAAAAGTAGTTACGTTACTGTAACGCGTTACTTTGTAACGCGTTACACACAACACTGATGGTGTCACACTGCTGTCACTGCTTCCAAGTTGAGTTAATATATATTTTAAAGCATTTTGCTTGTGCTTTAGGATAAGAAGGACTTTATTGAAAGGCGAGTGAAAAGGCTATTGAAAGCGGGAGTCACATCAGCTATCGCTGTCATGGTCAAAGCAGATAATTCCATCCTGACCGATCAAACCAAAGAGATGCTTTCAAGGTGAAGATCTTATTAATTCTTTTAATTTTGTTATGTTTTGGTTTGGTACTATATCGCTTGTTTTTGATTTTGGACCCTGATGCAAAAAATATAATATGGCCTGATTATGTATAGTTTATTATGCTGCTGAAGTTAATACACTTACTATTTTTGTCCACCCAGGGTGTTTCTTGCCTTGGCAAATGATATGAAAGATCGTGGCACAATTGTAGCTCACGGTGGAGGAAAGGTAAAAGACCACAGAGCAAATACAAACCCATAGTGAATCTCATATTTTGCTAAATAAAAACTATTCACTACTATGTATGACAGGCTTTGATCCCATTAGCCCTGGAGGGAACTAAAAACGGAAAAATAAAGGCCAGCCATGCTCTGGCTAAGATCGCTGCCGTCTCCAATCCTGAAATCGCCTTTCCTGGCGAGAGGGTAAGATAACCTTTTACATCTGTAGCAATGTTAAAGCCAGACGAAAGGGTAAAATACATTGTCAGGAAAGCTTAAAGGGGAATGATACCTTAAAATACATTTTTGCATTTCACGACACATTATTGAAAACCATGATATTACACATTACTTTAAATATTACGTGTATTTTTTTCTGAGCATGAAAAAATCTTAAATAAAATGTAATATCTAATTTTCCATGTTTCTACTCTTTCCATTACAGATATATGAAGTTGTGCGACCACTGGTTTCCTTGCTAAATACAGAACGAGATGGTATGGAAAACTTTGAAGCTCTGCTGGGTCTTACAAATCTTGCTGCCTTAAACGACAAACTTCGGTGAGTGTCAAACATTTTAGTTAGTGTCAAACACACTTCACTATTCCATAAGGCCATTGGAGGGGATTTGTGAATGACAGTGAAGTTACACAATTGACACTGGTAGATAATATAAATGATAATGACAACATGACAAATCCTGACGATGCATATGCATCGATCTTGAAACATGTATTTCGAATCGTGAATCGTTTATTTCGGTCAATATTCGATTTAAAATGCTAAGAATCGAATAATTTGCGATTCTATATCGATTCAGTGTTTTAAAACATATAAACATTAAATGACTACATGCGCGAATTAATGAGGCGTTGTGCGGCGTCATTTCGCGTCCTCACAGGCAGCTCTCACATACTCGCTGCACTCTTACCATCTTTCACTGGATTTCGATCGCGCTCGGTCCCATAAGCTCTCATCTACAGATTTTTGAGCAGTCCATGTTTGAGCTCTCCTCAGGACAGCCATTGGTGTTCACATGAGCAGATGACAGCTCTCTATCGAGAAAGCAAGCCATTGATAAAGCTGCCATATCATTGGGCGGTCACTGCTATGAAACAACGCGTTCATTGCATGGAAACGTCACCGTTATTTTCTTTAAGATAAGATACTGAAGTTTTACGGAAATGGGTCATACCCGTCCTGAGCAGTTAAAGTAAAACCCCACTTATTCAAGGGTGCGCATTTATTACATGGAAAGAGAAAACGTATAATAGGTCCCATAAAATGCACACCCTTCCGATTAGCCTAATCATGAATGAAATGTAACTTAATGTCGTTAAACTGAACTGATGAAATAACTACAACATTAATTACACTGAAATAAGAGCGCGTGGTTTATCCATCAATCAGATGCGCATTAAAGTTGCATTCGTAATCGTTAATATAGCACAAGTAGACAGCCGGCACGTTTTCTTTCAGAATCACAAGGAAAATGTTCAGTCGGATAAAGAGAACAAAGAGTAGCTATTCCATGAGGAAACGTTAGTTAAGGTTTAGTTGGGAAAGTTCATGGTATTTTTAGTCTCACAATGGAAGGATGTTTAATGTACCAGGAACACTTTAAGGTTGTGTATCCATTCCTACAAAATAGTTAGCATGATGAACTAACTATACTTTTAAAGCCTTTTTAAATCTTGGTTTACATTTTTACAAATGCTAATTTATAGGCTTTGGAAATATTTTTTATAATAATAGATTCATTAAAAACTAACATGAACTAACGTTAACAATAGACGAAATGTGTATAATTCACACCCTGACTAAGACCCATTGGGGGAAGCATTTAAATAATCCTATGAATGCATATAAAAAATTAAGAATTGAATCGAATTAATCGAATCGCATCGAATTTTAATGTGAATCGCATTGAATCGAATCTTTCTGAATTTGCAAAAATCGTTCTTGAATCGAAAACCTATGAATCGTTAATTGAATCGTTTCGCTGCCTACCCAAAGATTCACAGCCCTAATATATATGTGTGTGTGTATATAGAACATGCATTTTAATGGTGGTGAAGTAATTACTTACTCAAAAGAAGTACCTACTCAGATGGATGGATGGAAGTGAACAAGAAAAAACAGAAATCAAGAGCCATGCTCAATTAAATTTACACCCAACTAAATCCATAAACCTAAAATTTGGAACTATTCTGGAAATGCAAATCTAATTATTTATCTCTCTTTCCACAGAGTGAAAATCCTAAAAGAAAAAGCACTTCCAGAGATCGAAAACTATATGTTTGAGGAACATGATCAAATCAGACAAGCAGCCACAGAGTGCATGTGCAATCTGGTTTGCTGCAAGGATGTATGAAATTACTACTGAGAATACATTATGTTTATCAAATGTAGTCTTTTTTTGTACGTTTGAATGTAAATATTGACCAGATTCATTATTTTGACAGGTTCAAGACAGATATCTACAAGATGGCAATGATAAACTCAAGCTTCTAATCCTGCTCTGTAGTGAAGATGATGAGCAGCTTCAGAGGGCGGCTGCTGGCGCACTGGCTATGCTAACTGCCGCACAGAAGAAACTCGCTGTTAAGATGACTAAAGTGGTATGTATCATTAAACAGCCTTCACGTCCCACTGCAATCTACCATTATTGTGGCGGTACAATGGTTCAGTGTTGGTATCAGATGCTCATACCAAAGATGATAGACTGTAATATGATTTATTTTATTATCTACAGACTGGGCAGTGGCTTGAGATCTTGCAGAGATTGTGTATCCATGAAAACCCTGAAATTCAGCACAGAGGTCTTGTGACAGTGTTTAACATGCTGGATGCTGATGATGAACTAGCCAAGAAGCTCATTGAAAGTGAATTGCTGGAAATCCTGACATATGTGGCAAAACTGGAGGACAACCCCAAGAAGCAGGATGCTATTAACGCAGCTCGGGCCTGCCTGTCTAGAGCCATGGATCATGGACTTGTAAAGCCGTTTTCAAAATAAACAAAAAATTAATTGTGACGTGTCATTAGACGAATAGAGAATGGTCTGCTTTCTGGGAAAGTGGAAAGACTGCAAACCATTGCCAATGTTTTCTTTTTATTAAATTTCTAATGATAAGCATATTTATTTTTAGGACGATATGTTTGTGTGGCTGTTTGTTTGATCAGTGGTCTTGCATTTGGTATTTATTTCATATTTCATGTATTTTCACATGTGAAGTTTTGATTCACAGATTAAAAAAAAACTTTTTTTGAGAAAAGATGACTGGAATCTATTTCTTCATATTGACATCAGAATTATTCGTTCACGTATACAAGTATATATTTTACAACCACACACATTAACCTTGCTCTCTCAATCAAAAGGTTTGGCAGGTTAACCTGGTCTGGTTAGCGGGGGGGGGGGGGGGGGGGGGGGGGTAATGCACGGCCACATGTTGCAAGGATCTGTACACAATTCCTGGAAGCTGAAAACATCCCAGGTCTTGCATGGCCAGCATACTCACCGGACATGTCACCCATTGAGCATGTTTGGGATGCTCTGGATCGGCGTATACGACAGCGTGTTCCAGGTCCTGCCAATATCCAGCAACTTCACACAGCCCTTGAAGAGGAGTGGACCAACATTCCACAAGCCACAATTTTTTTTTACCCCTCTAATACAGTAAAACAGCACATTTTAGAGTGGACTTTTATTGTGGCCAGCCTAAGGCACACCTGTGCAACAATCATACTGTCTAATCAGCATCTTGATATGCCACACCTGTGAGGTGGACGGATTATCTCGGCAAAGGAGAAGTGCTCACTAACAGATTTAGACAGATTTGTGAACAATATTTGAGAGAAATAGGCCTTTTGTGTACATAGAAAAAGTCTTAGATCTTGTGAGTTCAGCTCATGAAAAATGGGGGCAAAAACATAATGCGTAATGCATTATGCATAAATGCGTTTATAATTTTGTTCAGTGTAATAAACCCTGTCAAACTAAGTTTATTGTTCATGAATGATACCTAATGCATTAAGGTCAACAAATGAAACCCTTTTATAAAGTGTTATTTTTTTCCACAATTCTTATTTAATTTTATGTATTATACAGTTTTCATGACCTCATATTAATATAATTCTGCTTTAAAATAAGACGATTCATAGTTCAACATTTTAAACGTTAAAACTAGGATTAAATATTTTCCATATGCATTACACCTAAAATGGCTTTGCCCGACCAAAGGTTGGCAGACAAATACAGTTCTGTTTTGCTCTAATTCACTCAGTGAACACTTTGTCCTGAACTCAATGTTCTTTCAGGCGCGAGGCGCGAGGCTGGAGTTCAGGAATGCAGAAAACTGAATAGCTCCAACTAGAGGCCGGAAGAGTAGCCTACATTTGGATTTTTCAGATCAAGGACTGTTGTTTGTTTACTTCAAGCTACCGATGTCTACTCATTATCGATATATAACCATATACACATTCCTTTCAATTATTAAATCGATATTCAGTGATAAATCTGAGTATAATTAGCGTTGAACGAAGTCGTTCCAATTTGCCTGTGCTGCGACCACTAGCGACGCCAAACCGAACTGCACGCGAGACGCAAGATGGACGCAAACTTTTGACTTTCTGTTTCTATTTCGTTTCGCTTACTCGCGCGAGCTACGCTTTTCTATGTATCGCCGCGTCCCTCGAGGTGAGAGCGCGCGCTTTCGAATAATTTAGCATTCCAGTCAGAAAAAAATCGGTTAAAAACAGGCCTTCAGACCAGTTCGCTGGCAGCCGTTTTCACAGCCCAACCTTAGCTGTCTTTATGTGGATTCGCTTCCTGGTTGCAACACAGTCACACAGTACAATTCAAAACGCATTTCAGCCTGAGAGACTAACGTTAGTCGTCGAAACTAATAATTATCCTTGGAGCTTTCAATAAACATTTCATGACTTTTTCCCGGAAAAGGCAGTATCTTTTTATTCGTTTAAGTGGAATGTCGTGAGCCACCGAGTATTAGAAATATCTAATATATCGAGTGAGTGCAAAGCGAAAACCTGGGATCTATGCTTCGTCTTCATGGAGAATGTGACTACACAATCAACACAAGGTAACTGGGGTTAGTGGACTCTTTGACACGTTTAGTTTCTGTTTTGACGTCAATCGTGTTTGTATAATTTATGCAATAAACATCTATTTATATATTTACATATCCATTAAAAACCCACTCTATTTTTTGTGCTGTTTTTGTTGTCCGCCAACGAAACTGTTTTTTTTATTTCTGAGTTTCAGTTCTAAGTATTTAAATATAGTTAACTACACCATTTCTACACTCGTGTAAAATTTGAAACGACTGGCCTATTCTGGTTGAAAGAAGACACGGGTTTGGTTGGTTTCCATTAACTCAACCAGTTCTGCAGTCGAGTCAGCGTGGTCCTGGTAAATCTACACGTGATAGTCTTACCTTTGCTCCAATAGCCTAAGCTTTTTGATTAATTTGAATAAGGGGTTTACATTGATGTTTTAGTTCACTACTGAGCAATGTCCTCTCTTAAACATGGCCTATATTTATTTATTATATGTGCCCATTATTAAGTGTTTTCTAGATATTTGTGCATGATCTATATGACAGGTCTGTAACACTTTACAATAAGGTCTCATTTGTTAACATTAGTTAATGCATTAACTAACAATGAGCAATACATTTGTTACAGTATTCATTCATCTTTGTTAATAAAAATACAGTAGTTCATAATTTGTTCATGTTAGTTCACAGTGCGTTAACTAATACAACTTTTGATTTTACTAAATGCCGAAATTAACATAAACTAAGATCAATAAATGCTATAGAAGTATTGTTCCTTTTCAGTTCATGTTAACTAAAGTAATTCACTAGTGAAACCTTATTGTAAAGTGTTACCAAAAGATCTTCTCATTCTGGTCCTTATTCTCAGTGTTTTGAGGTTGTAAACTTTGGCAAAAATTAAAGGCCAAAAAATGCTTAAATGGGTTTAGTACAAATTGTCAGCACTGTTGATTTATTTACAGCATTGGTTATGAATCTCATTTCTCCATGTAGAGTTTGAAATATCCATTAGCCTAAATATTAGGTGGTGTAAGATGATCATTAGCTGGTTCTAGCTTGGTTGAGAGTCATGTTTCAAAAACCAGCTTGACCACTTTAAACTGGTGTGACTCGTGGATAACTAGCTTGTTGCTGGTCCAAGATGATCTACTGTTTCCAGATACCAGCTACAATCTTAAACAGTATTTTCCAATTAGAAAAGCTGTAAATCCATCTTGTGAAGATGACAATTAAACTGCATTTCATATTACTGTATAATTCGATGAGTTCATTATGAGTTAATATATGTCAATAATTGACATTATGGTTATATGGTACATTTGGAAGATTGGTGTGGAACACTTCAACAGAAGTATTGCACAATAGTCCTTCATGTAATGAACAACGTGTTCAGCAGAATAATTGCGTAAGGGGCTTTCTTTCATGTGAAATATGTCTTTTGGTTTTTTTAGAGGAGTTGTTTAGCCAGTTTCTCAAACTGTTTTTTTTTTTTTTTTACCTAGCCATTTGTTCACAAAATGGGTTCTCTATTTTCTTATGACCTTCAAATGACTTTGACAACATGCTCTCTAGTTGCCATTCTAAAGTGACATACAAAACCTTTCATTTTAGGCTATTTGTTTTTGAAAAGATGGAATGTTTTGGAAAAATTGTGAAGCAGTTAGTATAACTCAGACATGTGTCCTGTCTTACCAGGTCTTCTGGAGCCTGTGCATCCAGGCTCAGTAACCTTTAATGAGAGTATTCTAACGCCACTTCGTAACAACTATTTGTATGAGGAATCAAAAGAATGTTTCACGTACAACTCTGCCCATTTGATCAACAATGACGCTTTACAAAAACAGGTAATTTTTATTCTTAATGCTGTACAATATAAAATGATTTCGTGAGATTTGTGTCATGTTATAGTCTTATGAATGTTTTTTCCCCCAACAGTATGCTGCCTTTCGTTCCGAGAAACGGGAAAAAGGATATTCTGAACAGGAACTTGAAGAGTCTTTTGGCTTCCTGTTGCTTGATGATGCAAGCAAGGTAAGAAATACAATATTCAATGAGCTTATTGAATCAGCCTGATTTCAAAACTGTACTTTCTGAATCGTCAAACCCATTTGTTTTCCCACAGGCAAGGAAAGTTGGTGAAACAGGCTTATTGGTTAGACAAGCAAAATGCACTACTCTTGGAGACTCTTTGAAAGGTAAAGAAAGTAGCCATTGCATTGTTTGCGTAACAACCTGATGTGTTTACTTTAATGCACAAGGAAATATTTCACATGTGACTGCAACAAGATCAGCCATGAGGAGGTTCTGAAGCCTTCATGCTTTTCTGACAAGTCTTGATATGAATGTGCTATTGTCAATGAAAGTGCATGATTTTCATTGGACTGATTCAGTGAATGTTTTATAATGCAGATGCAGTAGTGGTCAAAAGTGGTGTCCAAAAAGCTCACAGGAAAAAGCATGCATTGACTACAACAATAATCGGTTTTTAATATTTTGTTGGTTCCCTCTTGTTTTTGCATGTATTCATAATTTCTCTGTGTGACAGCCTGGCCCAAAATTATCTCCGCACAATTTGGCATGTTTCATTGCGTTATCACAAATAAAACAAACAACTGACTCCAAGCACAACTACGCAATATGCTTATTGCATAGGAGAACTGTATATTTTCAAGTCCATAGTCTATTCTCCTTCATATGAAAAGTGAAAGTATCAATTGTACTGCTACTTAAGATATGTAATGAATCTATAGAAAGAGAAAGTGAAGGTTAGCCTAGGTTAGACTAGTAGTCTTCCCACTAGTGTATGATATCAAATAGCCTAGATACTGAAGTATTTACGGCAGTCTAAATTAAACATTTGACTCCTTTCTTATATTTGCTAGAGACTACAGGGCTATTATTAACTACTGGTGGAAGACTTAATAATATCATGAAGAAATGAAACTCATTTCTAGCTAAGGAACCTCATGCCATCAGTCACATGGTTGGTGTATCATGGCTTGAGGATGAGAAAAAAATTAAGGAGTTTGGAATGAATTTGAAGATCTGGGTGTTTGGTGGACAACAAAATCATGCAAAACTACTTTAGCTACTAATAATAGACATAATCTTGAATTATTATTGACTTAAAGCAGGTTTGTGAAGACAAGTGAAATTCAGCACATATTCTTAGACAAGTGAAATTAGGCCTTCAGATGATTAAGGGTTTTCATATTTAATTTTATTACTAATTTTATTTATGATGTAGCTGGGAAGTGAGTTTATGTGGTCATGTGTAACACTTCTATTTCCTGAGAGGGGAAAGTCTTGAATGATATACATTCGTGAGTGTCTCTCTCTACAGTTAAAGGAACACTCTGACTTTTTGGGACTTTAGCCTATTCACCCTATCCCCCAGAGTTAGATAAGTCCATACATACCTTTTTCATCTCCGTGCGTGCTGTAACTCTGTCTGACGCACCCACCGCTAGCCTAGCTTAGCACAAAGACTGGATGTAAATGGTTGCAGCTAGCATACTAATCCAAATAAGTGACAAAATAACGCAAACATTTTCCTATTTACATGTTGTGATTTGTATAGTCACAGAGTGTACAAAAAACTAAGTCACATGAGACACAGACATATTTTAACCGTATAAATACTGGGAACTATATTCTCTGAAGGCGAAGCACTGCTACTTGGGCGGAGTGATAACCGCAGCACCTGAGACGCGCTCTCTGCTCCTCACCACAGCGCGTCTCAGGTGCTGCGGTTATCACTCCGCCCAAGTAGCAGTGCTTCGCCTTCAGAGAATATAGTTCCCAGTATTTATACGGTTAAAATATGTCTGTGTCTCATGTGACTTAGTTTTTTGTACACTCTGTGACTATACAAATCACAACATGTAAATAGGAAAATGTTTGCGTTATTTTGTCACTTATTTGGATTAGTATGCTAGCTGCAACCATTTACATCCAGTCTTTGTGCTAAGCTAGGCTAGCGGTGGGTGCGTCAAACAGACTTATAGCATGCACGGAGATGAAAAAGGTATGTATGGACTTATCTAACTCTGGGGGATAAGGTGAATAGGCTAAAGTCCCAAAAAGTCGGAGTGTTCCTTTAAGCAACCAAATAAGAGTAAAGTTCATGTGATATTGACTTTAAGACAAGTTAATGTATTGTATCATATCCCATTAATGCAAAAATATTTTAGGGCCCAGCAAATGTTGGTGTGTTGTCAGGGATTGTTTAGTCTCAGCTTTAAATTTCACTGACACAGTCTGTTCGCTGACTATTTAAAGCACACCAAAATATCTTATCCAACTTATCTGATTTGATGGCTTTTACACAACTTTTTGTACACACGTTTTTGTCAACCAGCCTGAAAAAGAAGTCATGCTTACGTTGTTAATACAATTTGTTAAAGATATCTTTACTGCATTTGCCATAGGTTTTCAATTAATCTTTGAAAAATACTTTTTTAGGCATTTTATGCAGTGTCAAAAGCCTGGCTTTTGTGAGACTAGGACTTGTTGGCTTAATAATTAGCAGTACTAAAGACTAAACTTGTTTACTGTAGTTTAACATGTTGAGGCAATCGGATCTTTCTGAGAAGTGATTGTACACCTTTTTCTCATCCACAAAAATTCAGAAGACCTAGTTTTTCCAGTTTTTGATGGGCCTGTTAATTACATGTGTTGAGTATTACCTCAGCATTTGAGTAACTAAGGCATTTTGTTTTTGCCTCTTTAATGGCTTAATTTTCACAGTTTTTATCCCATAGTTTGTTGAACAGCATTTAAATAAAGATTCATTGGACTTTATCAGCCATTTACAAGCTTTTCCTTAAAAAAGCATATGTCTTAAGAAATGTGTGTTGAATATAGCTGTGAATTGATTGTTGTGGAGTTATTGGTTGAGGCGATTATCGTCACATTATATTTCTGTTATTTACACTTAAATTAGGTGTCTATATCTCAAAATACTCAGACTGCCTTGACCTGAAGCGCTGGTACGATGGCAAGACTGGCTACATTGTCCTTTTGAAGCTGACCAAGGTACACATTTAACAAATTAGTGGGAAATTATTCTTCCACCCAAATTCTGTTGCTTTGTGCTGATTTATCCTAATGCACCACTTGTAAACATATTTTCTTAAATCAGGGGAGAGTGAAAGAAGTTACAGACAACTACACCCAGAATTTCACTCCTCCGACAGCTGGCTTCGACTGCCACGTATCAGAGCAGCTTGGTGCTGTGTCTTCAACTACTAGTTCTTTCTTGGCATATGAGAGAACACAGGTGATACAGCTCTCAAAAGAAATGGTTTCCTTCCTTAGCATCAAACTGTATATCTAACAAGGTTGCTTTGTCTTGCAGTACTATATGTATGAACTCTGTGATGGAAGCAGTGAAACAAAATCATGTCCGAGACATGCTTGTCCGTTTGCCATCGTGGCATTTTCATATGGGAAGATAAACACCTCATCAGAGTTGGAGCAAAAGAGGTTTATAACTTTGCTCTTTGAGATTTTGATGGCTAAACACCCTTTGCTGAATCTTATGAAATGAAACATTTACATATGACAACTAACAATCTGTTTTCTTTACTTTTTCTTTTCAAGCCAAGACAAAACAGGTAATAATTATAGATTGGTTTGCATGTTCTTTTCTCTTTTTGTGGTGAAATTGCAAATAGGGCAAATAGCGAGGATTGTTTAATTCAAAATCTTGTACATTGTCTTTCTTTGATTTATTGTATAGTGTTTTCAACTTGACTCTTCCATGTTTTGAATTAAAAGAACATTTAAATGCACTGAATATTAGAGTAATTACCAATAAGTGGTATCTTGTATTGTAGTGTTTCATTACCAACCATGGATTGGCCAATTCAAGATTGAATCCACCGTCTATGATGTTGGTCTTCAGTCTTCGAGCGGAGCCTGGTTCCCAGCAAAACTGTATGTTTTATGCAAAGACATCTTTTGACCCTCTTACTCTGATACGATAAACCAGATTTCATTTGATAATGCACTAACAAAGCTGCCCAAACATTAAGGGTAGATTATTCAGAAATACTATACATCTACTTATATTAAGCTATAAGACTGAAATGCGAACTGTATTTTCAGCCCAAAGACAGTTCAAATTGACCGTGCAATTGGTGTGTCTGAACTGAAGAGGACCTTGCCGCGGGAAATCTTTGAAACTTGTATTGTGGGTGAAGGTGTGTTTAAAATTGTATTTTGGTTATTGACAGTATCGCCCATTTTGGTGCTAAAACTGTAAATGAGCACTTGGGCAACATCTTTTAATTTGTTTTCCTACATCTTCCCACAGTTTGCATAGATGGCAGATGTTTCAACCTGTATGACGTTGTCTCCTCTAAGGCGAAAAATGATCTTGCTCAGATAACCCAAGAGCTAAAGGAAAATGACATGGTAAATATGGGGAAGAGAGAAATATCTGTCATCAAAGAAACACTGAAAAAATCTCTAAACAAATCTTGTCTTATGATCTTTTCCATTTACCAGGCTCTTGTTATACCACTGGAAGATTCTGGTTTCCTTATACTGTTACACTCTTCACATCTCTTCTCTTATGAAGGTAAGACGTTGCCCAGTGGAGTGCAACTCCAATCCCCATAATTTTCTCTATAGATTACTTAATTTTTAACACCAACATATAAACCATTAAAGACAAACCTCTTGAGCTCAGAGGTTGTTAATCAGTGATATATGCTTCCTTTAATGCTAGTGGTCTGTGTCATGTAAATGTATTTCACAGCGCATTTACGTCCTAACTACATTACCCAAAATCTTCAATGTGCATTTGGTTATATCTGACTATTTAGCAACTAACTAAAACAAAATTAAATGAATACTGTTATATTTTTCATTTTAATTTGATTGTCATTCACAAGGCTTCATGGGATTGAGTTCATTTCCTCATTAAAGACATTAACTACACAGTGAAAATACATCTGGAGCCAAGAACACTTAAAAAGTGGACAGAAAATCTATCTTGATGTTGTTTATCTTATGAAAACATACATTTCCTTAATTTCTAGATGCAAAGTCTGGTAAGGCAGCAGCACTTCAAGGCATGTTTATTTTTCCAGACTCAAGAACTTTGCCAAGAGGTAACAAGGAGAAGAATTGGATTTATTATTATTATTATTATTTTTTTTTTACATCAGTCTACTTTATTTATCTTTTAATTTGCAAGTCTTACATGTCTTATAAGCATGTGTTTTTATGTTTAGGTGCCAAGTCTGACCTGACAAATACTAAAGTGTCATCAGAAATAATGCAAGTCATTCCAGCACTCAACTATGCAGAAATGGAGATGGAAAAATGTCCTCCAAACCAACAGGGGTGCTCTCAAATTTCTTTAGAGAAGCATTTGCAAGACTATGGCACTCTTTTTCACCCAGGGCTGTTGGACGTTCCCACCAGGGAAGCAAGTATGTTTCCAGACCAATATGATGTGCCTGGTGGTTTCACTCTGATATCGCCTAAGTGGTCACAGGAGACTGGCACTCGATTAAAGTCCTATTTTGATGAGCCTTGTGGCTTTACAATTTCAGTAGTGAGGGCACTGGAGTTACTCACCACTGGTCGACAGCAGCGTGGTGAAGATCATGACGATGATGTCTATTACTGTATATCATCACCTGATGAGGTCCCGCAGACTGATGCCCCCGTTGAAATGGAGGTGACTAAGCACACAGAGGCCATCAGTGATGCCTCTCACAGGACTGTTGAAAAAGATGAGCACAAGCATTTGACAACAGAGCAGCCTCAGCCCGCTTTGCCAGAGGGCATTGGAAAACTGGGAACAGCTGTAGTTACTGTAGCTGACAGTGTGTTGGTGTATCCAACTTCCACAATTTCACCTAAATTGGGTGACTTCCCTTCAGAAAATTGTGTAAGTATTGACAGTGATGTTGAGAAAACTTCTCAAGGCAATACTAAAGGAGATGCTGATGGAGTCTGTGTAGATTTATCCACAAAAGAGACTCCCATCCAAACAAGGACTACACCATTAATCACATCAACAGAAGAAGGTGGTACTGGTGAGGGGATGGAGGATAATATACATCCTGAGAAAACAATGGCTGATCCTGATAAGAAAGTAAATCTGAGGTCCTTTTCGAAGCGCAAAGGTAGGAAGCGCAAAATTCATTGGAGAACCATGAAGATAAAAAGAAAAGCTGTTAAAAAAAAGCTTGCTTTTCCAACTTCAAGTTTGCCTCTTGTTTTGCCAGTGAACTCCACAAATGGCCCTACAAAAGACCAGACTCGGACTGAGACCATGCATGCTGATGACATTAATCAGAGGCCGCATTTAACTAGTAGGGGCAAGGGACGCAGGCAAAGGGGCGTGAAACGAAATCTGAGTGAAGCCAGACAAGCACAAGAATCTTTAAGTGTGTCAACAGAAACTATACTTGATCAAAGTCCTTCAAGAAGAGACTGGCGATCTCTTCCAAGGCGTAAAAGATTGTGGAATACCGATGCCAATCTGAAGCGTTCTTTGAGATCAGGTGCTGTAAAGATTGACGAGGAGACTATAGTGAACGCACTGGCTGATACAACAAAGCAAAGTTTGTCAAGCACACCCAAGAGGAAGATGGAGGGATTTAGCTTGAGGGAACGATATGGTCTTAAGACCATAATCACAACCTGTGGCAGAGTTTTTGTCCCGCATGGTTCAGATGCTAATGTACATACTGCAAACAAGAGGCAAAGTGAGAAAATGCATGTTGAGATGAGCATTGACACAAATACAGAAACTATTTCTCCTGTGGAAAACAAATCCACAGAAATAGTGGAAAGTAAGGGAGAATCTCCCTCGATGGTGATAGAAGAATTCCCCCGTAAAGTTCCAGTGGTAAGTGACTGTGAAGACTCGTCACACAGCCCTTCAGATGAAATGCCAAGTGCTCTCTTGTCCGCATTAAAGATATTGAGAAACCTTCACAAAAACAACCCATTAGAAATTGAAAAAAGTCGGGATTTATGTTCAGAAAAGTCCATTAATGCTACATTAAATGAGAACGTAAGCTTCCAACAAACTAACAAAGTAACAGATGCAACTTCTAGTCATTCCAGAGTATCTGACCAATCCATGCACTCGGAACCTAAAGTATCCTCCCCTGACAAAAACAAAAAGAAAGCAAAATGTGATGTGTACAGTGCAATATCTATAAGCAAATTAAAGACAGTACTCAGAAGGGGAAAGAGGGCGAAATCTCCTTCCCCTGGTGACAGTGCAAAATCTGAGCCAGATAACGCGGAGCCAGAATCAAAAAAAAGAAAATTGGGCACCATTATGCACCTGGAATGTGATATGATCAAGAATCAGTTGAAAGACAAAGCATCGCAACCCATGAATGATAAGGCACAATATACACCAATGAACCCTGTGGAGATAACCAAACAACCTGTGTCTTGGAGAGGTCTTATTCACAAGGCCTCAAAAGAAAATGGTAAGACAAATCTTTCTTTACATATTCTGTTATTAAACAAATGTTCACATGCCAAGAGTGGGAAATAGGGGTGTAACGGTTCATATTACTTGCAGTTCTGTTTTTATCACAGTTTTACTGTCACAATTTCAGTATGGTTCGGTATGTGCTATCTGTGCTATCTAGGACTACTGTCAAATAAAAATGAAGAAATTAAGAACAAACTACAAGCAACATAATTTGCTTGTCGACAAATAATTACATTGGAGCAAAGATACAAATAAAATGAACCGTGCTTTTCAGGTTATTTAGGTATCTAACAGTAGTTTTCAGGTACAGAAATTGAATAAAGTAATCAAATGTAAAACAATATTGCATATAATCTTCACTGTATAAATTAAATATAGATAAATCATTTATTAAAGTTACAAAAGCTTACAGTCAAGAGCAGTAAGTGATTTCCTTGTGTTTTCCTTGTTCGATTATTTTATATATATATATATATATATATATATATATATATATATATATATATATATATATATATATATACTTTACAGAGAACCGTTACACCCCTAGTGGAAAAGTTTCCAGAAAGTGCTTTGTATATTTGTGTGTATACCAGTTGTACACTCTATACCAGTTGTACACTGTGTGTATACCAGTTTTAAACCTCAATCCTTTGTGAATGTTTCATTTTCGGCAGTAGTCGTTCAATTAGAATGGCTTGAGACATGATTTTGCTGGTGTTTTAAAATTGGCCCCATGTGTTCCCTCTCCATCTTTTTGTCTTCTGTGTGCATGTTATTGTGCTTCTGCTTCCTCCTATTCTTTTGCATGTCTGCATGACTATGCGCCTTTGCTGCTGCTATTTTATGCTTTGTCTTTGTTTTTGTCTATTTCTTACAGGGTCCCTCAATTTTGACACATCAGCACCTTTTGAAATAGCTAAACGCAATGACCAGCAGCTCATATCGTCGCTTGGGGATAGGGTGGGAAGGACAAGAATTAGCATTGATGGCAAAGCCAGCGCAGAGAGTGAGAGCATGAGTGCATCTCTGCCCTCAGATGCTTTGAGTTTACTGGCTGACTTGGCCCTCGGTGCAAGTAATGATAAAATGTTATCGAACTTAGAAGCCAAACCTGGCCAGGAGTCCCTTGATGGAATGAAGGGTACCGGCTCCCCGGAGTCAGTCCTTCATGCTCTTCTTCGTTGTCCATCTGCCAGAGTTAAATTACCCCACAGGTCTCCTGTTCCAGAAGGTCTTTTAGTGACTGGGGAACTGATTTTGGAAATATCTAAAGAGCATTCTTACTCACAGCCAACCTCTCTGCTGTCAGGTTTGTCAGGTCCATCCTCCCAGGTTTCTTATCCATCTGGATGTGTAGATTCGGCTCTGTCATTGAAGACTGGGCTTCATCTGAACCTGCCTAAAGATGCTGCACCCTCGAGTCATCAAGAGGAAGGAGGAAAAACAGAATGGAAGCACTTGATTTCTTCAAATAAGACAATGTCATTGATTCCCAAGACGAAAGCACGGAAATCAAGATTTTCACGGAATAGAAGCATAATTGAAAAGGAGAGAAAGATCCAAGTGACAAGGATTTGGGAGGAAGATTATGATTTTAAATTTGACAGCAAGTTCACCAATGACAATATAGACAAAACTGTCACACGAGCACTTCATGGGTAAGTACCACTTGTTGCCCCTACATTTCGGTTAAGGCTTGATGATTGTTGTAGTGAAAATTAATATTGTCTTTTTTTGTTGATTTGTGGCAATTCACACAAGACAAAAGTCTGAACACTATTGCATTTTGTTTAATATTGTCACTAATCAACAAAAAAAATTATTGCAACAAGCTAGAAATTATACAGCTTTAATGTAAAATGATATATTCATATAAACACTTTTGCTAAAAAGACAAAAAAAAAATATGCTCTTACTGATTCTATCAAGACCATTAGGGATGTCCTGATTAAGTTTTTTGTGCCCCCGATCTGATCCGAGTCATTGAAGATTGAGTATCTGCCGATACCAAGTCCCTATTCAATACTTGTATTTTGCTAGTGCTTGTTTACACACGCGCGCACACACGCATATATATATATATATATATATATATATATACACACACTCACCTAAAGGATTATTAGGAACACCATACTAATACTGTGTTTGACCCCCTTTCGCCTTCAGAACTGCCTTAATTCTACGTGGCATTGATTCAACAAGGTGCGGAAAGTATTCTTTAGAAATGTTGGCCCATATTGATAGGATAGCATCTTGCAGTTGATGGAGATTTGTGGGATGCACATCCAAGGGCACGAAGCTCCCGTTCCACCACATCCCAAAGAAGCTCTATTGGGTTGAGATCTGGTGACTGTGGGGGCCATTTTAGTACAGTGAACTCATTGTCATGTTCAAGAAACCAATTTGAAATGATTCGAGCTTTGTGACATGGTGCATTATCCTGCTGGAAGTAGCCATCAGAGGATGGGTACATGGTGGCCATAAAGGGATGGACATGGTCAGAAACAATGCTCAGGTAGGCCGTGGAATTTAACGATGCCCAATTGGCACTAAGGGGCCTAAAGTGTGCCAAGAAAACATCCCCCACACATTACACCACCACCACCAGCCTGCACAGTGTTAACAAGGCATGATGGATCCATGTTCTCATTCTGTTTACGCCAAATTCTGACTCTACCATCTGAATGTCTCAACAGAAATCGAGACTCATCAGACCAGGCAACATTTTTCCAGTCTTCAACTGTCCAATTTTGGTGAGCTCTTGCAAATTGTAGCCTCTTTTTCCTATTTGTAGTGGAGATGAGTGGTACCCGGTGGGGTCTTCTGCTGTTGTAGCCCATCAGCCTCAAGGTTGTGCGTGTTGTGGCTTCACAAATGCTTTGCTGCATACCTCGGTTGTAACGAGTGGTTATTTCAGTCAAAGTTGCTCTTCTATCAGCTTGAATCAGTCGGCCCACTCCCCTCTGACCTCTAGCATCAACAAGGCATTTTCGCCCACAGGACTGCCGCATACTGGATGTTTTTCCCTTTTCACACCATTCTTTGTAAACCCTAGAAATGGTTGTGCGTGAAAATCCCAGTAACTGAGCAGATTGTGAAATACTCAGACCGGCCCGTCTGGCACCAACAACCATGCCACGCTCAAAATTGCTTAAATCACCTTTTTTTCCCATTCTGACATTCAGTTTGGAGTTCAGGAGATTGTCTTGACCAGGACCACACCCCTAAATGCATTGAAGCAACTGCCATGTGATTGGTTGATTAGATAATTGCATTAATGAGAAATTGAACAGGTGTTCCTAATAATCATTTAGGTGAGTGTGTAATATACTAATCCTAGCCCCAATACTAATCCTTGAGAAAATCAAATGTCTGACTTTGACACCAAAATGCCACACTTTAAATATGCTGAAGACGTTTATGTGGTAATCATTTGAGCATCATAACCCATATATAGACATTCCAAAAAGGCTCTGTTAACCATTTTTCCCCCTAATATTGACAGGAAATGGAACTTCAACATTGAAGACACCTATGAGGATGTCCATCTCATTTTTCACATGTGGATTGGACTTTTTTATAGTAAACACACCTCCAGGTTATTTCAACTTGAAAATAGTACTGCACTTCCAAAGGGGAAGGATGTTGAAAAGGTTCATCTGGACATTAACGCTATTCAAAATGCTGTGTCATTGCTCAATGTTGAGTTGACCTCGAAAGATGACTCATCCAGGCCTGCGCATCTTTCATCAGAGGTTTTGGATCTTTCTGTGAAAAATGGCGAGCCTGTGAATTTCTGTTCAGTCTCAAATCAGAGCAGAAAAAAAGACACTGCATCACATCCTGGTGGAATGTCACCAACGACACCAAGCCGTTCACCTTCTGGGACAAGTCTCTCCCCCAATCCAAAAGTTACAGCATTGATGGTAATATTAACATGATTAAAATTGCACTATATTTAGCTCTTAGCTTTTAGTTGCATAGGTGTTAATCTTTTTAAGAAAATATATTATTGTTAGCTTTTAGCCTTTACTTACTTGTCATGTTTATAAGAGTTCTGTCAATAATTCTTTTGGACATTCTCTGTGATATTCTCAGTAATATTTTAGACCTCTTGTACAGTGTGAGTGTGCGATTTAATATTGATTTATTTGATTTAAATTTTTCTGTTACAGAATTATAGATCTCCTGTGGACATACCAGTGGACAATTCAGTGCCTGACAGTCAAATTGACACTGATGATGAAAATTACATCACCACTGACTGCTCATATTCTCAGCTCTTGGAAGGAAATAGTTCATATAACCAGTTGTGTGAGCAAGCATCAAATATGAGAATAGGTATTCGGATACTACTACCAAAGGTCAGAAATGTTACAAAGAATGAAGCATCTACGAGAGTGACCACTTTTGATCTGAAAAAAATTGGTGTGTTCCATCAAGTACTTAGTCCCATAAAACCATCAGCATTCTCAAAACAACATCGTCTGATTTTGGGTAGGAAAAGTTTTGATCTGAGTTTAAAGAAGGAAACTGGGCATAAAGCACATACAGTACTGCAGAAGGAGAATGTTTCTGAAAGTGCAGAGAGTAAAAAGATTTCTGAAACAAATGAAAACAAAAATGGGTGCCCAGCAGCTGTGGTTGATGGAAATGTTGACGATACTGCAGAATTTAAAACTGGAAATGGAGCATCCATTTCGGTACAGGAAAAGAGTGTTTCTGTAAGTCAAGAGAGTAAAGAAGTCTCAGATGAAGATAGCCATGATGGATGTCTTACAATTATGGAAGATGGAAATGTTGACGAAAACATCACTTCTGACTTGCCAAGCCAAGATCAGATTAGTGTTGTTGAGCATAATTGCTCTGCTCATGCAAAGGAAGATCTTAAACCTTTTCAAGATCTCAAAGGTCACGAAAACATGGTAGATGTTCTGAGAGATGTTTCACCACATGATACTAGTGTTGAAGAGCATAATGTGACTTCTAATGTGAAAAAAGATCTTAAACCTTTACTAGATGACACAAATCTACTTGACCATGTTGAGGAGCTAAGCGAAATTTCATCAGATGAGACAAGAGTTGAAGAGTATAATGAGACTTCTAATGCAAAGGAAAATCTTAAGCCTGTGCATGACCTGAAAGATCACGAAAAAATGGTTGATGAGCTGAGAGATGCTACATCAGATGAGACTAGTGTTGAAGAGCACAAAGAGACTTCTGATGCAAAAATAGAACCGAAACCTTTATTAGATGATACAAATCTAGTTGACCATTTTGATAAGCTGAGTGATATTTCATCAGATGAGACGAGAGTTGAAGAGTATAATGAGACTTCAAATGCAAAAGAAGATCTTAACCCTGTGTATGACCTGAAAGATCACACACACATGGTTGATGAGCTGAGAGATGCTACATCAGATGAGACTAAAATTGAAAAGTGTAATGAGATTCCTAGTGCAAAAGAACAGCTTGATCTGAAAGATCGGTTAAACTTGATTGATCCATCATCCCATGGAATTGAAGGGAATGACACTAAAAAGCCTGTGGAAGAAAAAGATGAAGGTTATACAGGTGAGGAAATTATGCAAGAAGGTGAGAGTAAGTCAAAGGAATGGGATAACTTGGATGGCAGTGATACTGAACATGAGGCGTCCACAGCAATGGTGGAACATCTAGATGAGTTTGTTTGGGGTCTAAAGGATAATATAAACCGTGTTAAAATGGAATTCAGTGATGAGGATGCTTTCATCGATGATGATGATGATGATGACATGAAGATACAAAAGAGTGAAACACAACCTTACACACCAGAGGAGACAGACCTGGAAGACTATACCCTTGAATTAAGCAATGATTCATCCTCAGATGAGGATCAGCCCTTGTCTGTTCAAGAGAAACCCACCTCAGCTTCTTATATTGATACTTCTAATATAATGCAAGATGAGATTGAAACCGAGACCCTTGAGCAGAGTTTAGTGGTCCAACAAGAAGCTCTTGAAGTATGTCAGACTGAGTTAAAAACAGCAAGTACTGTTGAACCCACCAAATTGGATATTAGTCATTTGGAAAAAGATGATGAAAGAGATTTAGGCCAGCAGGATAAATCTAAAGTCAGTGGTGAGGATGATACACTTGTTGACGAGAAGGAGACACAAAGTCAAGGCTCTTGTAAAGATGGCGTCATCAAAACATACCAAGAATGCCTGTCTGCAAAAATGTATGCTTTGCCCCATAGCCGGACTGAAACTCGTAATGAAACGGTTGCTCCTCAAGCTTTAACAATTTACAAACCCTCAGAAGTGGAGGTAAACAGCATGTGCTCTACTCCTACGCAAGATGAAATGGCATGTTTACCAGAAGTGAACGAAGAATTCAGGGAAGAGGATTTGAATAGGGACCTTTACTTTCCTTACAACACTGATCATGTTGACATGCTGCCACCTAAAATTCCTGTATGTCCTCAAACGCATGTTTCTACCACAAAGCCACTTTCTGACTTTATAGGGCACTATGAAGAAACCTATGATGACGAACTAAGGTGTAAGAGAATCAAATACACTGGGACAATGGATTTCAAAGATAAATCTGAATTAACTACTAAGCGTTCGCCCAGTGAGGACTCTTTCCAGTTAAGGCACAAACTCTGTCCCACCTCCCAACAAAAAGATGACAAGAACTGTAACTTCATAGAGGGTGGACCTCAAAATGATTCTGGATTATTTTACAGAGAAGACAATGTAGACGATTTGCATGAATATTACCAGGGATCTGATGAAGGTTTACCATGGCCTGATTACCAAACAGAGGAACCAGTTGATCACCAATTGTATCCATGTGAAAAGGAATTTAGTTGTGACAATGATCAACCCATTTGTTCTAAGTACATTACATCTGAACGTGAGTATTCCTACAGGCACACAAAGCATGCAAAGAAAGAGATGGATAACTTTTGTTGGGCAGAAAAGAATTATAAATCAGACCCTCTGTCAGTTACTTGTACTGCTGAATATACCAGGGAACAAAGTCCAAAAAAGAAGTCTAGAAAAAGCAAATTCACAGCCTTCCGACAATATTCTCAGTGGGATGATGAAGACTGTTCCAATGTTATTGTAGACTACAGTATCCAAAAAACATCATGCTTTGAAACTTGTCAAGCAAAGCCAACTAAGGCAGTCACGGTTAGTTCCCTTCCACATGTTAAGACAAGCAAGCAGCAATTTGACTGGCGCAGGTATTTCAGAAGGGAGGCGGCTTCCAGTCAGCTATTAGATGTAAGTGAGAGGGATAATAAATTCGACATTCCACTCTCCGACATTGTCACCGTTTTGGACAGGAAAGGAAACCGGGTAACATTCAGTAACTCTTCCACCATGAAACCATCTTTCATTGGACTTGAAAACTCTTTTCATCGCTGGCAAGAACAACAAAGTAAGACTGATGTGACCCGGTCTGCAGTTGACCTTGAGTACCTTATTTTCTCTAAAAACATGAGTCAGGTTCTCAAAGAAAATAAGAGCACATCCAGTACCACATCACACTGTTGGGAAAATCCTGACCAGTCTACATGTCCCATGACTGTTCGGTTTTCAAATCTCAGTGAAGTGGAGAACTCCGCTGACCTTAGTAAAGCACAGCAATCACTTACTGATTTTAAGATAAAAGTGGACATGTCTGACAGGAGAGGGATGAGGGAGCCTGTAAGAAACCGCAAACCACATCTTCAAAGACTTTTCTGTGAAAAGGGCAATGATGTTGAGTTCGCGGGGATCTCAGAAATAACAAAGCAATGTGCTGTTGCATACAAGTCCATGATGAACGATGTCTGCAGCAGGAAGACTCTCTCGCGTCCAATTGAGGCAAGTGGAAAGGGCGTCAAGAGGAAATACAGTCGAGAGAGCGTTGGCCAACATCCTGGATTCTGTGGTCGTATCAAGAAGGACACTTTCGACAATCCTCATGACTATCTGAAGTCCTCAGTGTGGCAAGCATCCAAGACTAAGTACAGGTTCTTTATCCTCGTCACATCAACAGATACCTTTTTTAAAGAAACCAAGGTACGAAAGTTATGCATTAAAATAATCTTATAAAGTGTTCTAAAATGGTAAAGAAAGATTTTCATGGGAATTTCTGATTTGTAGCACATGTTGGAGATTGAGGGCCACATACAGGTTGAACCAGAAGAATTTGACCTCAGTAACGATGGTCAGTCCCCTCTTCTCATTATACTGAGGAATGAGGACATTGCAGAGCACATATGTGAGGTAAGTGAATGAGTGAAGCTCAAACAATAAAAATTTGTGGAAATCATCCTTTAAGTGGACAATTTGACCCCAAAATGTATTTGTTTGTCAGTTGGTCAGTATTGCATATATGATATTGGATATTTAATTTTGCATGCTCATTTGCCCTTTTTTACTTTTAGATTACCTTTGTTGTCATCTGACAGTGAGCATCATTCTAAATATAAAAATGGGTGAAACGCCAAAAAAAACATATTTTAAAAAGAATAAATATCCATTTTTTCACATTGTACATTGTTGTGATCCCTTAATTCACGTGTAGCATTTATTGATTTATTTATTTTACAGTATAATTACTATATGGGCCATTTATCAGAATTCAGGCCAGCCATAAAGTAAAAATTATTTTTGGCTTATCGTTGTCGGCCAGAATTTTAATATCAATATACATTGCTAGAATGAAGAGAATCTAAGAGAGTCTGTTCCTAAATGGAGTTTCAGATCTGTTGAGCAGTTCAATCTCTTTTGGGTTAAGAGGGATAAAATGCCTTTTCATCTATCCATGTGTGGCAAGAGCCGTGGGAACGGAGCGATGCTGGTGGCGAGAGTGTAACCTGTGCACCACAGCGGTCTCTAGTCTTACGGAGGAGCTCAGGAAGGATAAAAGGAGTAGTGACAACAGTGGAAGGCGAGAGACTTGCGCCACCGGCCTCGCTCCATTTCCTCGGCTCTCTACCCCGAACTGTTTACCACTCCATGTTTTTTGGTTTTAATTCAGCCAAACTGATATAATTAACAGAAGTTGGGGGGGGGGGGAGTTGAGGGATTGTTTCAGAAACTATTTTTCTGTGAACTTGTTTGATTGAGGTTGCCTTCAAAAGTGCTGTTTTTCCAATTCAACCAGGTGCCTTATTTGCTGGAATTGAAGAAGTCCCCCAACGTCCTGTTTGCTGGCATCGACCGACCCGATGACGTGGTGAACCTTGCTCACCAAGAGCTTTTTGCAAAAGGAGGCTTTATAGTGTGTGATGACTTGGCTCTTGACACACTTACTCTAGGTACTGATAAAAGTTGCTACTGAAATTATCCATGTTGTTTTACTGGAGATGGACTGATACATTATGGCATTTTCATTGGACTTATATTTGTTAAATTTATAAGATGACATGAAGAAAGTCGTGGGGATTCTGGAGGAGTTAGACAAGCAAGGGAAATGGAAATGGTTTCTGCACTATAGAGACAGTCGCAGGCTTCGGGAAAGTGCCAGGTAAGATCACAGCTGTGTTTAAGTTTTGTTTAAAAACTAACTTTAGCTAGACAATAACTTTATTCTAGAGCTGCTGTAAAGCCAAAACAATCTCTGTTTCTTTAATTTCCTATTATCACTGTAAAGCTTCTTTGAAACAATCTATATTGTTAAAAGTGCTATATAAATGAAGGTGACTTGTTTGAAACAATACCAGCTTCTAGTTTCGCCTTGATGCCTCTCTACCTCTGAACACTGCCTGATTACTGCTTGTACCCAGTTATGGGCACAGACTAATTCTCACTCTCCTCTAACATATGAAAGGTAAGACTTATAATCTTACATATAATCTCCTCGACAGGTCCAGTCCTGAGGGAAGTAAGAAGCAGCAGTTTATCGATTGCTGTCAGAAAGCTGGCATAGTCGAGGTCTTGCCCTATCATGAATGTGATGTCATATCACGGGAACGGCCGGATTACCTCTTCTGTTTGACTCGCCTCCAGATCCAAAACGCCTCTGTACGGTTTCCTGTGTTTATTACAGGTGAGTTTTAATTTTTGTGAAAGTCCACATGCCTAATAAGGTTAGGGCCAGTTCACTTCAGCTGAGGTACACCAGCCTATTGAACTGAATAACTAAATAATGAAATCACCATAACCTCATAAATGTTTTGTAAAACATTAAATTATTTTAATTTATAAAATATATTCTTATTGCCTCTGCACATTTAAAACTTTGTATGTTGACTAGGGCTGTAACGATATGCGATATGAAACCGAAATTCGCGACACTCAGATCCACGAACCTGTGTCGCGATGTGAGAAGACAGAATCGCGACACACCCCTTCCAACTCCCAGAGTTATCCTTCCCGTCCAGATCCATCTTTAAATAACTATTAGTATTATTTGAAGTTAACATTATAAAATACGTAGACCTACACCACAAAACTAGTTGAGGATAAATTCTTTAATATTACCTGTAACAGCCGTTTCACACCGCAAGCGTCAGCGGTGCGTGAGCAGCGCGTATTTTTTTCCGGCGTGCATGTTAATCAATGAGTGCATTCACACCGGGAGCAGGAGCAGCGCGTGAGCGTCAAGCAGGAGCATCGCGTGAGCACCAGTGAAGCGGGGGTTTTGGCGCCGCTACTCACGCTCAATTAAAGTGAAGGCATGCTTTTGATGGACGAAATAAATGATTTCACACAAAAAGTGCCAAAAATGCACAGAATAAACATATCTAGTGAGTAGGCAAACAAAAGAAAATGAAGACTCACAAATATTTATACAAGATTTAGGCTACCTGTAGGTTTTTCAAATGTTATTTAATAAAAATATATATTTTTTTCTCTCTCTCTCCTCCAACCGAAAGAATCGAGGTTTGCATTGAATCGTGGGTCAAAAATCGTGATAAGAAAAATCGTGGGTTTGGTGTACCCCACCACCCCCATAATCATCTTCACAGCCGTCTATACCAGATTAGCTAGCTTTGATTTGAATTGCACTGGAATTTTATCAACTCATACAGTTAATCTGTATTCTCCTTTCCTCTACATCCTGTGGTGTTCACACCTTATGGCTGGAAAGAACTAGTGAAAACTTCCTGTTATTTTAAGTTTTATTTCTCTTTCTTGGTTCCTGGTTAGCCTAATCAAACAGACTGATCTTTAGCTATTTTTTTGGTCTGGAAGTTTCAAAAGTGACATTTTAGAAGGGGAGAGTAGACATCCCTGAAATTATCCTTTATTATAATCATTGCTTTAATCACTGGTTTAGTGATTAAAGTAATGGGTCTCTTTTTAATAAAAAAGTTGATATATTCAGTTTGGTAATATTGGGAAAATGGCATTATCGTATCACAAGTTTAATTTCCTATACATTCTCTGTTCTACCATATTAAATACTTACTGTCTATGATTAAATACGACTGTTGACTTCTCCTGCACCTGATGTTATTTCACTCTAATTTCACCATTTATTTTCTACTCACTACTAGTCTTAGAGGGAAAAAAGGCAATAATATGTGAAGTTCTTTACGTTAAGTATTGTCCTTCACTTTAGGCTACGTCTACATAAATCCAGATACATTTGAAAACGGTCTCCGTCCACACTAGCGTTTTCAGGCGTTTTCCGACGTTTCAGTGTGGATGAAAAACTTTTTAATTCACCTTACTGCGCATGCGTGAAACCTCACAAAAGCTCACTGAGATGATACAGATGGAAAAATAAATAATAAAGTTATCGGTCAATTCTTCTAACAGGATAATTTTATTTAGCAAAATATCTCACCATTTACTGATGCGTCCAGGTCGCACTCAGTCACCATATGTTTGGTCTAAAACGCAACTGCTCTCCTGTATTGCTGCAGGACAGCAAATGTGAGTACAATTTCTGTAGTAATTCTGTAGCAGTACTGTGATATGAAGAGTGAGCAAAGTAACATATTTTAGCAACAGTGTAAAAGTGAATAGCACATAACAGGCACAATACCGGTAAACATGAACATCTATTGGTACAACATGGATCACATGACTAAACTTACGTCATCGTTTTCAAATACCTCCGGCTTCACAGTCCACACTACAACGCGAAAACGCCGTTTTCACATTTATCCGCTTTGGAGAGCGTATTCCAAAAGCTATGTTTTCGTTGACTTAAAGTGCCATCTCAGTGTGGTGGACGGAAGGCCAAAAAGGAGAGAAAAATATACGTTTTCGTTGTGGACATGGCCAAAAGTCAGCGGCAGACCCGGTCATCCCCCACTGAAGTCTACCCTTGTTCTCAAGTTACAAAAAGACTTTTTCCTTCATTAAATTAAGCTTTTTAAAAATTTATTTTTAAAAAATTATTATATAATGAAAAACGTACTCGGTTATTAACGTAACCTCGGTTCTCTCTAGATGAGGGAACGAGTGTTGCGTAAGCTAGCTTGCGCTACGGGAAAATCCCTTTTCTCGAGAATACTGAAGCCAAAAAATTATCCTTAATTTTGCATTAATTTAAAACGCATTGCTGCACAGAGCAGACCTAGGCGAGGCAGCTCGCACGCCTATTGGATGCTCTGCTGCAACCTATCGTGGGACTGTACGTGACGTAAGCACCAATGCGGGCGCCCGCGCGCTTCACGTCCCGCCAGAAGGGGTGTGGCTTATGTCTATATAACCAGAATCCAGATAGGGTGTTCTTTGGTTTTTCATACTGAACCGAAACAAGGCACGGCAGGGTTACGCAACACTCATTCCCTCATCTAGAGAGAACTGAGGTTACGTTATTAACAGAGTACGTTCTCTTACGAGAGTACTCTCGTGTTGCGTAAGCTAGCTTACGCTATGGGAACCCAATGTAAAGCACCGTGCGTGCTAAGGTCGTCCACACATGGCCCCAAGGGCATGTGCCCAGGGTACACATGATAGTGGGTAATGTCTAGGCCAACAAGGCGTGGGCCTAAGAATATAACCTAGCCATCTGGTGCTTAGCATAGTATAACAGTCAGGATGGACGAAGTCAACATGCGCGAAGTCAGTATGCGCATCCCCCGAAGTCTCAAGGGGGCGAGCGCCGTGTCCATACATCTCGTGAAAGTAGACCGAACAGCAGGACGGTGTACTCATAGCTTTGACCCTCGAAGGTGAATCGTAAGAAAGGCCTGTGATGAAAATAAACCAGTCCCTCGGGCGAATTTGCGCGAGGATTTGTCTGGTCGTGAGCATTTTGAACGATCTTTTCAAAAGGGCTTTGTTCAAGTGCCTGAGATCTAGGATGGGTCTAAGACCGCCATCCTTTTTGGGGACCAGGAAATACCTGCTGTAGAAACCTGATTGGCTCTGTATCAGAGGGACGGTTTCTATAGCCCCTTTGCTTAGCAGTTTCGCTATTTCGGCACGAAGCAGATGTGCTACTTCCGTGTTTCACCGTAGTTTCGACCCTGGCTCGAAAGCGTGGGGGTCGGCGAATGAACTGCAGCGAATAGCCTTTCATTATAGTGTTCAGTACCCATTGTGACACGCCCGGGATCATTTCCCATGCTTTCAAACACAAAGTTTGAGAGAGAATGGCATTCCTGCTCTGGCTGCTGTGTGTGTGTGATACACAGCGCGCAGCGTCTGCCAGAGGGCGCGCGCTTAGAGAAGCGTGCACGCTCTCTGCACACAGAATACACTTTGTGTTTATTAGCAAAGACTCTGAGTGAGCGTGTGTGGCAGGGCAAACGGTGTTTAATAGTAGGGGCGAGCACTGTGCAGTGGGTGCATTTCCTACATTCAAAACACCCGCAGCGTGAACTGGTTTTATTGATATGGGCCGTAAATGAGTGTGTGTCACTGAGCGGGCCGTGCTTATGTGTAGGGGTGGGCACTGGGAAGTGGGCACAGTTCCTACATTCATAACACCTTCGGCGTGAGCCGGACAAACAGACATAATGCTCTTTTTGAGATCTATCTGGGTAGCCGTGAAAATGGCTTTTGGGTACAGGGGAGCGGGTCGCATGACGGGCTCGTTGGCTGTGAAAGGGAGCTGTTGAGGGAGCTGAGAGAGCGATGCACATTGTCTTTGATGGCGGTCCGGCCGCGGCGGGACTCAACCATCTTCGTCTTCTCTGGACGGTCAGGAAGACTTAGAGGGCTCAGGCTTCAGCGTGACCTTGGGCCTAGGACCCCGGGGGGGAGGCGGCCTGTGGCGACTGGAAGAGCGTGAGCGTCTCGGGATAAAATGCCGCGTAGCTTGCGACGTTTTTCGAACTTCAGAGAAACTCTCGGTGAAGCCTTTCACCGCCGGGCCAAAGAGACCGGATGGAGACAAGGGCGCGTCGAGGAAGGTAGCTCTGTCGGACTCCTTCATGTCAGACAGAGTCAACCATAAGTGTCTCTCGGTGACGGTGAGAGACGCCATGTTCCTCCCGATAGCCTGAGCACCGGACTTGGTGGTTCACAGAGCTAAGTCCGTGGCACTTCTGAGATCTGTAAAGTTCTCAGGATTCGGGCCCGCCTCGTCCATAACGCGGAGAAGGTTGGCCTGGTAAATTTGAAGCACCGCCATCAAGTGAAGCGGGGCGGCCTGACCGGCGGCGGTATAGGCGCGACCGATGAGAGCCGAAGTAGTCCTGCAGGCTTTCGATGGTAGAGATGGCTTGGAGTAGACCGAACAGCGTAAATCCGCAGGGTCTAAATCCAGCGGAGGGCGGGCATAAGTGAGTGGCCACCGCTTCCTCGACCGGAGGAATGGAGAGGTAGCCTTTGTCCTCCGCGCCGTCCACAACGGAGAGCGTCGAAGAGACCGTCGACCGCAGCCTGGCAGGAAATGGCGCCTTCCAGCTCTTAGACAACTCCTCGTGGAGTTTTGGCAGGAAGGGGGAGTGGGCCTCGTGTGAGGCGTCGAGCCTGCTGGGCACGGATTCCTCGGGCGGAGACTAATCGAGGCTGAGGTCCTCCACGGCCTTCATAATGAGGCGGAGCAGTTCAGCGTCGAAGCTGGCCCGCACGCCGCTCGACTCTTGCAGGGAAGGGGCGGGGTCCGGATCGGGGGCCCGACCATCCTTCGCTCTCTGAAGGGACGAGGGAACAGGCGTCCTCAGCTGCGTTGATCCCTTCAGACTCGAGATGCACAGCGTAAGCGGTGGGGTGCTGGCCGGCCATGATCGAGGCGGGGGAACCGGAGAGCGATGCACACGGGGAACTCGCCGGCATGCGGTCGCTCGCTGGGACGAGAGAAGCGGAGGAGAGGGGTCCGCGGTGAAAGAGGCTAATCGAGCCCACAGGGTCGAGACAGCCATCATGTCGCATTCCGGGCAGCCGCCCCTGGAAAGCACGAGGTCCACGTGGTTAAGTCCCAGGCAGGAAACGGTCCCCGTCGCTGAGAGGGGCTCGACGAGCCGCATTTGGAAAAACGAGGCATTATAACGCCTCGGCTCTTTTAGGAGAAACATTCGAAAAATATGGGCGCCGGATAGCGCAGCAAGAACGGCGGTGAAGCGGCGAGAAGATGGTCTGCTCTGTGCAGCAATGCGTTTTAAATTAATGCAAAATTAAGAATAATTTTTTGGCTTCAGTATTCTCGAGAAAAGGGATTTTCCCGTAGCATAAGTTAGCTTACGCAACACGAGAGTACTCTCGTAAGAGAACAAAATGAATTCTTTAAATTGAAATAAAAAATGAATTCTTTAATTTCTGCATATTGTACTACTTTAGATTTTTCTGTGAACAATGCATAATTTTACCAGATTTAAGGAATATGAGAATTTTTACCTTTTGTTCTTTGTGTTGCAGACACACCTACTGAATCTTTTGGAACAAATGGGATTTTAACCATGAACATTTACACATTCTCACGGATTCTTTCAAATGATACTTGTTCTGTGTCATAAATGTGTGTATGTGTTTTTCTCTTAATTTTTTATCAAAATATAATTTCTTACCATTGGTAAGTACACCTTTGTTCATAATTAATTTATTGTTTATCAAAAATGTTAAAGCATATATCTTTGCTACTCATATGTAATTGCTTACAATTTATAAGCTTTCCAGTAAAAGCTTTTTCCATTTATAATACAGTTTCAATGTACAAATGTTTTAGTATGTTTTAACCTGACTTTATTTTTTATCTCGACTGAAACTCTAATAAATGAACTGTTTTAGTATTGTTGTTCATTATTCAGTTTTGTGTATTTAATACAGGTTATATTATAATTTATATATTCAGTATAATCTATTGTGGTTATGAAGATGTATTTAATACAGGTTATATTATAATTTATATATTCAGTATAATCTATTGTGGTTATGAAGATGTAGGCCTATCTGTGTGAGCTTAGAAAAATTCAAGTTATGTTTATTTGTATAGCGTTTTACATAGATACAATACATTAAAATGAGGAACCAACTTAAAATATAATATTTGTTTAGCTACTAACATATTCTTCTGTATGCTTACTAGACTTATATCTCTGGTCCCCATTTGTTATATTTATCAATGATTATAGGTTGTGGTCATCAATTTTGTTCATTTGTTGGTCTGGTACAGTTGCTCTCCTTTTTAAAATTCTAAATTGATTCCAAACTTGTTTGAAAATTTGTATCTTGATCTAGTTTTTCTTATTTAAAACTAAGGAATCACTTGAGGGAAAAGGAGTGAACGTAAGCTATACTTCCAAATAGATTCTGGTTTGTATTTGTACTTCAACTAGACCTGTCTCCATCAAAGGTTTTATTTTTCAGATTCAATGCATTAATATGAATTTGTAGAGGGAGACCGGGGAGTGTTGTAACACGGGGTCAGCTGTAACACTGTCAGAAGTCAAAAAAGAGCTATGGTAATTTCATCAATATCATACACTCCCATCACCATTTTGAGCTCACAGGAAGTGGCATGTGACTGAGCTAAATTGTTTTATTTTATTCTTCAATAAAGTTCTTGCATAAAATGTGGATCTTATCACAGCAAATCCCCTCTCGTTGTTACATCTATCCCAGCTAGTGTTGCAACTCACCCCAGTACTGGAAACTCTTTGTATTTGACATTAACTCAAACATCAATCTGTGATTGGCCTACACGTCCAGGTGAGTTTTATTTGTAGGAGACAAATGTGGCTACTGTGTATCAAAGTTTGAAAGATCTAGCACAAACAACCACTGTGTTACTGATGCGCAAACAAAAAAGTGTTACCATCCCGGTCTCCCAAACAAAATGTTTGTGATTTAAAGAAAAGTAACCCTGACTTCTTTAAATCATTATTTTGGCCTGGCACACTTTCAATTCCCTTTAAGACCCAGTACAGGTATCAGGTAATGGTTGCTGTGCCAAAGGCAAAGCATTAACAAAACAAGTACAAACCTGCCTAATTTAACAGCCAGACAACTGTAGGCTACCTTATGAAAGAACAGGTACAAGATTTCAGTTTTGCCTATAGTGTATTTTGTTTGGTCAAATGCTTTGCATTTTATGGAGTATTTTATTTTAAAAATACGACCACAATCATGTTTATTTACATGCACAAATGTTTTCATGAAATGTTTTATAAATAAAACATTTCACACAAGAGTTTTAAACAGTTGTTTAAAAAAGAAGGCTATTTTATTTGGGGTTAGCCTATGCTTCGTCATAATATTCAAGTTGTGCATATAACGTTTCACAATACAAAATATGGGATTGGTAGTATAGTAGCCTAACAAAAACTTTTCAAATACTTTCTGAAAGCGGTGGGGATCGGATGTTTTAAAGAGATTTTGCAATGAATTTTAACCCTCTCTAACTAATCACAATGGAAAAAGCTGGAGCTGACGCGGCCTGACCAAACTAATAACTTTTAATAGGCTACTAAAACGTTTGAAAACCCCTTAAATGTAGGCCTACTTGCTTATTAAACTGTAAAAACTTAAATGTACTTCAAATGTAAATTTGACGTGTGTACACACTTATATTTTAAGAACATTTGAGTTTTTACAGTTTTATAACAATGTCTTGTTTCGCACGCTCTGTTAAACACTTGCCCATTGCGTCGTATCTAACATGGCATCTACTGGGTTCCGCTTTCCGCACGTGAAAAAAAATAAAGATCCACTACCGGATGCGTTTAGTTTTGGTTTTAACTCAACTTGCTGTCAACCCGGAAAGAGGCTGAGCGAGTGGCACAAGGCTCGGCTTTCTGCGCGGAGCTTTCATCTGTTTTCGCGGATAAATGAGCGCGCATTGTGCGTGTATTGTGTTCTGAGAGCGCGCTGAACAAAACACACACAGCGGAACGCGGATGAGTCACGAGCCTTAGGGATTCTGGAAGTGAAGTAAGTTAATATTAGGTGTGGCAGTTATGCGCAATACCGACTTCCTCTCCAAAAGCTTGATCTCATACTCGTATACAGTTTTCCATTGGGAGTTCATGAAATCCTGGTCCAGGTGAACCACACCTGAATCCACCTGTCAAGAACACCCTGAAAACTTGTTTTTGTTCTACCTATGTTGGATATACAGGATTCCCACGGTCATGGAAAGTCATGTAAACTTGTATATGCTTTTATATGCTGTGTGCTCAGCTCTACCGTTTTTATTTGCTAAAAATTGCTCTAAGTGCAGTCTCTGTAAAAAGTGACTACTAGATATCTTTTCTAGTAATCACATGCCACTGGGGGAAAAAAATGCTCAAAAGGTGTGGGAATCTTGAATCTAGTATTGAGAGAGTAAAGATAAAAATATGCAAATTATCTTTTTTTTCTTTCTTTTTTTATTATTAGGCCTAGTAGGCCATTTTTTGTAAATATTGTGTGAATATGCATATATAGGGATCATCCCATTTGCAGTCATTAAACACTGTGTGTGTGTGTGTGTGTGTGTGCGTGCATCTGCCTGCAATTATATGGTCTGTTTCTAAATCGATTTACTTGTATTCTCAAAAACTAAAAGGAAAGGTTTATTTATTTAAAGACAGCAGGGACCCAGAGTTATGTGTGAGATTCAGTGTTTTTTTTATTTGTTTTTCTTTGTAGATCTGGGACATGCCTTACCTGGACAGACAAAACCGGACCTGTGGATTCCTGGATATTGAGGAAAATGACAACAGCGATAGGTTTTACCGGCGTTATTTTATCTTGGATACTCATCAGAATTTTCTCCTATGGTATATGGACAATCCACAGGTATTGCTCTTTATGTTCAAGTACAGCTTTAAACAGATGTTAAAGTGTGGCATTATAGAGGATCTTCCTATTTACCTACACTCTCAAATTTGCATCCTAAAAAATTGTAATCGTATTTTGCATAACTATTTTTCCCTGTTTCCTTAAAAAACAGAACCTACCTGTGGGAACAGAGTCTGTTGGGAGTCTGCGACTCAGTTACATTTCAAAGGTATCATATTCTACCCTACCATAGTATAAAAAGAAATATAAGGCTCTTTTATTATTACTTATTACATATTTTTGCTTATTCAAATTTGATTTAACTTGATTGTAGGTTAATGAATCATCAGTAAAACAGAAACCAAAGGCAGAGTTCTGTTTTGGTAAGTACGTAATGTGGATATGTTTTTTTTTCCTCCATAGTATCAATAACTAACCATTGTTTTGTTTAATTTTCTTCCAGTAATAAATGCATTGTCTAGACGGTACTTTCTGCAGGCTAATGATGCTGTGGACTTGAAGGAATGGGTCATTGCTCTGAATAATGCCACCAAAATTACAGTATGTCAAGCTTTTTGCATCCTCACTTCACTGCTGTCATTTTTTGGTATTTCATCATATCTCATATGTATTCCAAGAAATGTGACAAACCTGGATGTTATCCATAAATAAGCATGCTTAGAGCTTCTGGAAAATTAGTTATATATCAGAGATTATTCAATGCTTGTGAAGCCGCTCCTTCCGAAAAACTCAATGCGCTCTAATTGGTTGACCGGACCAGTGTGTTGTGATTGGTCAACCGCTTTACTGTATTTCTGAAATGTCACACCCCTTACTGTAACCACGTGTTTCAGCACGCTACTAACGCAACTCTACTCTATGTAATGTAATGTAATGACGTGTATCTGTTCCTTGAAGAAAACTCAAGACTACAATCGAGGCGTTTCAGGGAGTTCATAAACAGTGCTTACTAATATAGAGAATAACTCCCTTTGGAGTGACTTTGTGCTTTGAAACTTTGCAGACCTTTTTCTTGCTCAAACAGCAACATTACACACTTAAGAAAGTTGAACATGTGAAATTTTTTTTTTTTAATCAGTAAATATCTATTTAAGGTTCCAAAAGCTTCACCAGTGGCCCAAAGCTCTGATGTCACAAATGTTTCAAACCCAAGTCATTCGACATCTGGACAGGCGTATAAAACAGAAATTGTCGGAGGAGTGGTTGTGCACACGCCAGTCCAACAGGTAATGTATTTGTGTGTTCTTTATTCATGATTTTAATGTAGTTGACAGGGAAACATAAACATAAATCTGTTAGGTTCCTCAGAGCGATTCTGAGGATGTCTTCACGAGTGAACTAGGGTCACACGTCACTTTAAGAAGATGCCAGAGTGTGCGTCCAAATGTCGTGAGGTCTGGCTTCTGTGTCAAGCAAGGCAATGTGGTAAGACCAGTGTCTTGTGATTTTGGGGTATAACCAGTATCTCCTTAGTTTGTCAAGTTAATAATTTAGCATATTGATGGGCGTATGAAGTTTATAGTTTGTGTAAAATATAGACCCTGCTAAATTATAAACACTGCTCTAAAACTTTTGTTAAATTCATTTTGACATCACCATCACTGAACCAAATGTTCTTTCAGAGGAAAAGCTGGAAGAGGAGGTTTTTTATTTTAGATGACCAAACTGTGAGCTACTATAAATCTGAAATGGTGAGACGCTGGAATGAAAATCTCTTTAAAAGAAAGCAAGTGATTTATATTTATATCATGAACGGTTATGTACACCTGTTTCTTTTTAGGATAAGGAACCGTTGCGCAGTATTCGACTGCGGGATGTGCTGAGAGTTAACGAGTGCCTTGTAAAATCAGGGTGAGAACTTTTTTTTGTGGTTTTTCTTGTTGGTTTTGGTCACAAACCCACAAGTAGTTCACATTTCTGGCATTTCTGTACTGTGTATATATATATCATGATATAACATGACACATGATCCGTTAGAAATCATTCTAATATGCTGATTTGCTGCTCA